CACACAGAGCAGGGCCGATTAGGGGGTTGGGATGCCATACCCTGTCACACACAGAGCCACAGGGCGATCAGGGGTTTGGGCGCTGCACCCTGTCATGCTGATCTGGTGCCAGGAGGCCTCGCGGCTCCGCTGATCCCGGTGCTGGGAGGCATATTATCCTTTTACTATATAGGATAGAGGCCTGGGGGCCGGCTGGTTTGCCCTGAAGGGTGTCCTGGATCAGGGTGGGGGTCCCCACTGGGGTGCCTGGCCAGCCTGGATGAGGGGATGATGGCTGTTTGCAGCTGGTCACACACCCTTCCGGGTGGGGGTCCCCACTGGGGTGCCTGGCCAGTCTGGGTGAGGGGCTGAGGGCTGCCTTAAGGCTGACGATTGACTGAAGCTCCCAACCGCTCCTTTTTTTCTTTTTTTTTTTTCTTCTGGGCCAGCTTTAGCTCTGGCTCTAGCTCTGAGGCTTCCGCTGCTGGTTTGTTTGCTGTTCTATAATCGAAACAATGTATAACTTCAGCTCTGAGATCCCAGCCGGCTATATTTGTTAGAATGTTTCAAACTGCCAGCTCAGAGGCTGGCAAGTCAGGCGGGGAACGTTGGAGTCTGCAGTCACGGGAGCAAGCAAGCCTCATGTTCGCTTCCAGCTGCCTGGCTGCCGGCCGCCATCTTGGCTGACAGTTAATTTGCATAAGGATATGCTGATTAGCCAATGGGAAGGGTAGCGGTCGTACGCCAATTACCATTTTTCTCTTTTATTAGTGTAGATAATTACATTAAGATACTAATGAAGAAAATATAATGTTAAAAATGTAATTTGATACATTAGAACATTTTGAATAAGTTAGTCTAAGGAAATGTTAACAGAAATCATAGCACGTTAATGAAAAACCATGATAAAATTTAAAACCCACTCCTCATTTCAATCATTGACCAAGTATTATCAATTTGCTTCTTTAGTTGTCTTTTATTTGATATCTCCTCACCTTAGGTCAGAATATCTTCATGTCTTTATATATTTGCGATATTGGTTTAACCCTTCTTCCCATCTTCAGACTTACACAGTTCTTTACCTGCAAGTGGTCCATACTCCATACTACTCTTAAACAGACTTTTTCAAATGTAAACCTTATCCTGTTTCTCATAGCGTTTCAGTGTTCTGGACACTGGCTATCTCTCTAGCTTCAACCCCTGCAGCAGCCCTAGACTTCAGGCATACCAAATTACTCACAGTGCCCAAGGTGTGCTGTTATGTTTGTGTGTGTGACACCTCTGTACCTTTGCTCCTGCTCTTTCCTCGACCTCGAATGCTTTTCTCTTTCTGGATCAAATTTAGCTGTAGGACACTGCCTTTTGAAAGCTTTTTATTATCCCTTCAGGTAGACACGATTCCTACTATTCTAAGCACTGCTATCAAAAGACACAGAACACCATATTGAACTATGTGATTACCTGTCATATTCCCTGCTATTATACTTAAATGTATTAAGTCAGAGTATATATGCTATATACAGAGTGGAGCAAATGTAGGTTTACAGTTGTTTGTATGGAAAATAATACAATAATTAATAAATAATAATACAAGAATAAACTGTGTTTTATATAGTTAACAACTGTAAACCTTTTTTTTTCTTTTTTTTTTAGGGAGACCGGGAGAGAAAAAGACAAATACCAATGTGAGAGAAACATCGATTGGTTGCCTCCTGCATGAGCCCCTAACAGGTCATGTGCCCTTGACTGAGAATCAAACTATGACCTCCTGGTTCAGGTGTTGACACTCAACCATAGAGCCACACTGGCCATGCAAGATGACTACAGATTTTTAATGTGAGCAATGAGAGGAATGAAGTTTGCATTTACTGAGCTAGAAACACCTGCAGTTGAAAAAGGGAAGAATGGTGGTGATAGGAGGAAAATCAGGAGTTACTGGTTTACCTGTTAATGGAATCAAATTGACTTTAAAAACTTCTTTCTCTAATATGTTGGGAGAAAATAGTTCCATGTAGATAAGTTAGAGAAAAAATTAAGCAAATTAGTATAATTAGCAAAATATAAACGTAATCTTAAAAAAACTAAATTTGAGTTCTAGAAAAACTTATTCTCTGCCAGTGGAGGGACCAGCTGTGTGACAAGTTCCCAAGGTCAAGAGAACCTTGCATTTGCAAGGAAAAGCACGAGAACAAAGTAGGTGGAATGGAATGAGTGAGGGCGATAATAGCAGGGGATAAGTTTTGACAGATATTGTGTGCGAGATCATGTTGTGCCTTATATGTGCTTCAGCTTTTTAAAAAATTTATTTATTTTTATTGATTTCAGAGAGGAAGGGAGAGGGAGAAAGAGAGAGAAACATCAATGATGAGAGAGAAGCACACCCCACTCTGGGGATCAACCCTGCAACCCAGACATGTGCCCTTGAATGGAATCAAACCTGGGACCCTTTGGTCCACAGGCTACACTGTATCCACTGAGCCAAATCGGCTAGGGCTGTGCTTCAGCTTTTACTCTGAATAAGATGCAATACTTTTGGAAAATTATTAATGTGCTAGAGGCCCGGTGCACGAATTCGTGAACGGGTGGCGTCTGGCCAGCCTGCCCCAATTGGGGCCGATGGGTCAGGCTAGCTGGGGGAGAGGTCGTGGGCAGTTGGCCAGCTGGCCCTGACCTCGATCGGGGTAGGGCCAATCAGGGGCCGGGCCAGCCATGGGGAGGGGCTGCGGGCACTTGGCTGGCCGGCCCCGCCCCTGGTTGAACTCCTGGTTGAATTCCAGGTCAAACTCCTGGTTGAGGGGACAATTTGCATTAGTCTTTTATCATATAGGATTAGTTAATATAATTTGTTTTCCCCCCTATATTATCTGTACAACCCTGCTAAAATACTGAAGGTAAAAAGAACAAAGATATTTTCATAATTAAATGACATTCACAATATTGCAGTTGAAGAGTATTTACTTACCACGTGAATCACTGCAGTCATAGGAACCAAAGCCTGGGGAACACATGCATCCCCATTGCATACACTGCCCATTGCCACTGCACAAATTGGGGCATTTTAATACTAAGAGAATGTCTTCAATTGATTTGCCATATTCTTCTGTGTTATATTTACCCTCTTCCAAAATTCTCCTTTCACATTCATTTTCTAAAAGGGCCACACCTGCTCCTGCCCAGCTGCGATCATCTTTTAGGAGAACATCCTTAACGCACATATCTATAACACTGTCTAGTGTCTTGCCAAGAAAGGCGAGACAGCGCCTTCCTATGCTGGAGTTGGCTAGAGTCCGCTGACAGAGTTTCAACGTGCTGTGTTCCGTTAGGCCAGAGGGTGTAGGCCATTTGGGGACAAACTCTTGCTGGACATCCTCAGTATGGTCCTCAGGGAAAAAATAAGTAAGCTCTTTTACATCCTTCTGTCTGAGACTTTGGAAAGCAAGCAAAGGAAGAAACTCATAAATGTTTTGCCGTTTCCATCTGTTTTGTCGATGCCACCATTTTTTTTGACTCTTTCTATCCTGGTCCTGTGTGTGTATCCCATTGTCCAAAGTTTTTGGAACATCTTGTTTCTCATTCTTAGGATATTTTTGTAAATTTAAATCCAGTTTGGGTAGGTTCACGTGCTTTTTGTCTTGAGGAAAGAAATTTGAATTACTTTCTTCTCGAGAGGTATGCTTGTTGATCTCTCTGACAAGAGCTTCTGAATTAATATATTTAGAAGTGACATCCACTTCTGGTATCAAGGAAGAGAATTTGACACCTGTGAGGACTTTGCAGTCGGAAGCAATGTCTGCTTGAGAAACACGAGCCAGATGATTAGAAGACGGGTAGGGTGAAGTGGTGTCCAAGGAGCAGCTACAATAGGATAGTTTTCCAGGCGATGGCAGAGATATTGGCATTGTGTCAAACATGCTTTTTCCTGGCAAAATCCTTCCAGATGGAAAACAGAAAAGTAATTTGAACACAAGCACCCCCCTCCCCTCCCCAGGAACGTCTTGCAAAAAAAGTAGAGTATTGAGTCATCACTCATTTTAAGTCAAATATTAATTTACTTACCTCCATTCATTAATAAAAGCAAAATAATTATTAAAAGTTTGATCAATTTTGATCCCATTTTTGTCATGGAAATCATTTTCGGGGTTTTCATCAAAGGTGCCACAAAGTCCCAAAGTGTTTCTATAATCTACACTAGGGGCTCTGATTGTTAGACTCATGCCCCATTCACTAAGATCAGCACGGATAAATGCTCCAAAAGAAAACGAGATCTGAAATACAAAAAGAAGTCATTTAAAATAATATGCAATATTAAAAAAGGAGGACATCTGTAATACTTTCAACAATAAAGATAAACAAAAAATAATAAATAAAATAATATTCAATGCAGATTATGAAAAAACTATTATGTAACAAATAAATTCATTTATTCTCTCAATATAAAAGGAAAATAAAATACTGATTTTCCTTAGACTACACCTTTGCTTTTAATGCTATATGTCAAAATAATGGGGTTTTGCCTTTTGCTGATTTGAAATTTGATTTACACATTGATCCTTTTATTGATACTTTGTTTAAACTCTTTTTAAAAAATAATTTAAACTAGAGTGAGACATTTTGTGCAATTAAAACAGCTATTAATGTTGAGTATAATGTTTACCAAGTAATGTCTCTGATAGTAATTATTTGATCTAGACTTAGACTGATGAGTACTTGATTTATACATGTAAATGTAAATCCAAAGGGATACATATTTCTAATCAACATTCTCTTACTGCCAGTAGGCAAATAGAATCAGAAGCCAAATTATAACCAGAACATTGCTAGGGGAGTTGGAATGAGAGAAGGGGTTTGTTGAATCATCCTAATAGCCTATGTCACCTGTGATCATAGGAGTCTCACCCTCCCAGATCAGGGACTTGGATGTACATGTTGAGAATTTCTTTCTTCTAAAAACCACTGAAAATACACCACATATGTCTGTTTCTCTGACTTTACTACCCCATTTATTTTATTTTTATTAGATTTAAAAATTTCCATCTGTTTTGTTGATGCCACCCTGTTTCTTGACTGTGTCTATCCTGGTCCCGTGTATTTTTTAGATTTAAAAATTTCAGTTTTTCTTTTTAGAAAAAATGGTGTTATTTTAAAAGCAATCCAATTTCATATTGCTACTCAATCTGAGGTGGCTAATGTTAGGGTGTTGGTGCATATTCTTTGAAAACCTTTCCTATATTTCATTAATTTCTTTTCCTGTCAATAAATACACATCTATTCCAAAATTTTCATGACTATAAAGTGGTCTTTTATGTGACATTGCTATATTTGGGATTTTGGTTAAACTCTTTTATTCATCACTGATTAATTGTAGTTTTTCCCTCTCAAAAGGAGAAATATTATGTGGGGTTCTGCACATCCTTAATTATTTTATTATGGTAAGTTTTCAGAAGTAAAATTTCTTGAAAAATGACATGCGTAGGTTCTGGAAATCCTGCCAATATTGTATGAGAAATATAGGAGCTGCATTTCTTCGATTACTAATGAAATTGAAGTTTTTACATTTTTATTGGTTATTTGTACTTTTGGACATATTTATCAATTTTATTTCTTTTATGAATTGCCTGTTTATATCATTTGCTCATTTTAATTGGTGTTCTGATCATACATTAGTGATGCATATTAATGACTATGTAATCTTTGATGTTTCTTGATTTTCTAATCTCTTCCATGTCTACCAGCCTATTTCTGAGGCAGGACCATCTGTATTCATTTCAGAAATTGACTAGCTATTCCCAAATATTTATTCTTAATTATATATTTCAAGTATGGCTAATATATCACTTATTAGGCATTGCCAAAAATATTTCTATGAATCACCCACCAAGTTATAATGAAATTTTAAATAAGGAACTTCAGTTTGACAGTTTTAGCTATTGTTTTGTCTTTTTGTGTGTGGTACATGAAAAAATTTTACTCCTTATAAGATCAGTGTTACTCTAAATGTATTTTCGTGAAAAAAAACACCAACAACACAAAACCCTAATGTTGAAAATGATAGTTTTTAAATTAATAGAGATGCAAATAGATTCAGAATAAATCAAAATTCTGTAGAGAAAAGAAAAAAATACTTTTAAGAATCATACATACTGTGACTTTTCTTCCTAAATAAGATTCACTTATCTTGATATTGCTGGTTTCATGTTGGCTCTTTAGAAATAAATATGGCTGCAATTCATGTAGCTGACCACTGCACATATCGAAAGTAACTACATCACCTTCTTCTTTGGCAACAAACCCGCAGTTACATGACACAGGATAGTGAAGGCTTCCACAGTCCCATTGACGTACATGGACTTCAAAATCACGTGACATACTCTTATAAAGCACAAACGTTCCAGTCTTGAAATTATCATGTACCCTAACATTAACAAAAGCCAATTGCATTAAGAATTGGTATAAAATATCACAACAGTATGTTATAAACCAAAAATGTGTGCTCAATTTAGTATTTTTATGCATTTAATACACTTTGCTGCAAAAATGAAAAATCTACATTTTTAATAGGTTTATTTATCATGAGCATTTTTTTTTGTAGAGCATTGAAGGAGACAAGTAGTAATAATCACCTAAATCTCTCTCACTGATCTTCTACCCTTGCAATGCTCTGTCAACCCCTGCTTCCAGCCTTTTCTTTCCATCCCTGCTTAGTTTTCTTCCTAATGCCTATCTTTCTCAGATATACTATATATTTTATATATTAACTGTGTATATCTCTCTTCACCTATACAAAGATAAGGTAGAGTATGTCTATCTGTCTTATCACTGCCATACCCACCCACCCCCCAGCACATAGAACATGGTTTGTCACTTAGTTATTGCACAATTAATCTTGTTGGATTATAGTGGATAAAATTAGTCACCACTACTCTTTCCTGAGGTTCTTCCATTTAAAACTTTTGTTTTTTATTATAACCATAAAGGATTCTTGCCTGTGGGATTGGTTTCTACAACTTTGTATACATGTTCAAACTTTTGGAGTATCATTCATTATTGGAGGGGATCTGCATCTATGCACTAATATTGAATAGTTTTACTAACAATAATAACCTTATACTTTTTTAAAAAGAATAAATTACCTTGCATCATGAAGAAAATTTTGACAACAATGAAATGTTCATATCATTTTTTAGGGACTTATTAAAAACATGAATTCCCCGGAACAGTACAACTGAATTTAAATCCTTCTATGCAGATGTTAGTAGCAGGATAGCTTACCTTTTTTTATCCATTTTATTTTAAGATCCAGAGGCAATATCCAGGTATTCGTGATTACTACAATAGACTTTCCCTGAGTATCCTTGCCATGAATTAGAAGTGAGATTTTAAAATAATTACGTGTTAGTTTAATCATCTTGCCTTAAACCTTAAAGATTATTTCAGTATCACCTAGAAATGCAATACAGTATATATGTCTAGAGCAAAAAAATTAATCATTATTAAAAATAAATAGTCAAGATAAAATGATTGTATTTGTAAGAATCTTCATTTTTACAAATTCAGTCTCATAGCTAATTCATATA